ACCGCAGACGATAGAACGATGAGCTGTATGAGCTTTACAACGATATGGACATAGTGCAGCGAATTAAAATACAGCGGCTCCGCTGGCTTGGTCATGTCGTTCGAATGGACACCAACGCTCCAGCTCTGAAAGTATTCAACTCGGAACCCGCTGGTGGTAGCAGAGGAAGATTGAGGCCCCCACTGCGATGGAAAGATCAGGTGGAGAAGGACTTGGCTTCACTTGGCGTTTCCAATTGGCGTCAGTTGGCACAGAGGAGAAACGACTGACGTGCTTTGCTGAACTCGGCCAAAATCGCTTAGGCGGTTACAGCGCCAAAAAAGAAGAAGAAGAAGCAGTGACGTGGCAGGAAATTCGATAGAGAGCAGTGTAATCTGTTGAAAAATATTACCCAATTTTCCGTGAAATTGTGATTCGGATTCGTATTATTCATAGTTTAGAAATATATTTCGCAAAAACAAATAATAAAAATAGCTGAGATCACTTTCTTTTTTAAACACCTAGGATATCACTGACAATTTTAAATGATCCTGGATGACGGCAAAACTCAAAACTTTACAAATTCTTTGATGTTATTTATGAAATGAACGATCCAAATTAGCCGGTATATTTACATACTTATGTATTTGAATATTTTTAGAATCAGTGGTTGAATTTTTGTACTGAAAGGGTTAGTAAAGCGTTAGTTTAAAAGCGTGATACGAAATGCCTTTCACCATGAAACGGCGCCAATTTTAAGTGATTCTTGCGTTACATACTACTACTAATAAAGTTCTTGGAAGGATTTTGTAAAAGGTTGGACTATACCTTAAAAACTACTGTTTTCTCACAACCCACTGTACGAAGCTATGAGTAGAGAAAAGCCCTTTAATAACTTAAAAATTATCTTGGGTTATTAGGTCTCTAGCAAACAAGATTAATTGTTGTCTTTCACGAAGTCCTTTAAATAAATCTTGAGCTAAATACTGAAGTATATTCATGAATATCACGTTTTATATTTTACTTAAATTTAAATACCTAATATCTGCAAGTATTTTTTTAATGCATTCACCCGAATTCCGGGGGGTTATTACTAGTATGTATAATTGCTCAGTCATACGACTTAGTTAGGGCGATCTGTAGTGCAATTCACTCACTTTTAACGATACGATTTGTCGAGGTCTAATATAACGGTTTTTGTGGTTTGCAGTAACGTGTGTTTATTCGGTAACTCTTTTTTAACGACACTAAACAGCTGACATTTTCTTTTTATTTCAGTAAAAGGAAGGTGGCATCTCAACTTAACGAAACGTCAAAAAATGCGAAAAGCACAAAGAAGAATGACGAAAAACAAACAAATTCCTTGCTTGCAAAGTGGTATACACATAGTTTTCTGAATATTTTAATATACTTTTACAAAAAGTAAGTAAAATAAAACGTTTATTTCTTTTGTATTATTAGACATAACCATTTTCGCATATTATAGAATGGCTTCGTCAGTACCCAGTGTTCAAAAGAGAAGCCGGACCACAGCAGAACAACTAAGTCGCATGGTATGTAAAAGTTGTTAGGAATTTAATACCAGGTTTAAAATTTTGTTTTGCAAAAAGATATGGGGGGATTTGAAGAGCCGTACTAGTATTAAGGTGCGTGATAGAAAACGAAAGCAGGCAATGACGGGAAACAATCCCATTAATGAAGATCCACCCACTGAGCTTGAGATGCGTGTGAATGCCCTTGTCGGTAGCGACTATGTGCAGGGCCATGAAACTTTTGCTGAAAGTGGGCCAGTGGAAGAGGTAAAAAGCAAATAAATCGTTATGAATAGCACAGCAGTTAACAATTCTTCCCATCATTAGGAACTCCAACTTCGTATGGAACACACACATATAGCAGCAATTAATTTCATTTAAAGAAATTGCGTGTCGTCCATTTCCGCTGTAGCGTATGTAGTGCATATTTTTAACTTCTTCTGGCCAGGCGATATCTATCTCTAGAGTTTTTCTAATTGTATGGCTTTGATATGATACCTACAACGAGGTTGATTTCTAGACTAGGTTGATGTCTAGAATTTGCCATAAATAGCTTTGCTACATTAATAGTAGGTGCATTCTTTTGCAACCGAGCTACAAAAGAACACTCGCTTAAATGACGAAATACACGCAAAGCAACAACACAAACTCGGCTATTTATCCGAGCTCAGCCAGGTCGGTTAAAAAATACACGACCTGAAGGCTAGTGTTGGTAAGTGAAAAAACTGCTGTATTGTGAATTGTTAATGGGAAAGTGGAGAGGGAAATTTTTGTTTCCTTTTATATGTGACTTATATTTTAAAAGAGTATATATATTACGCAAATACCTCGCATATTTACTCATTTAAATTGGTTTTTGTATCTAAATCTCGTTAAACTAATCACATTTTCTTGCCAGATACCAACAGAGTTGCTTAAGTAGCTAAAAAGAAATTTTACCCGAGTTGAGCGTTCTTTTGTCGCCCACTTACAAAAAAATGCAGCTAGTATAAATGGTGGTCTAGACATACAACATTCAAAGCGGCCTGGACATACAACATTGCAAGTTGATAAAAGGGTTGTAATAATAATAATAATATAACCCCTATTACAGAATGTACACGAAAAAAACTGGTCGCACATAACCAAGCATAGCTCGGTTAATCATAACATTAAAATAAAAATCGGTAGACACTTAAAAAGCTGGAAGCATTTTCCACCTTACTGCATCATTTATTTTTAGTAACAAAAATCAGTGTAGAAACGAGGACCAAGAAAGAAATCGATCGCGAGTTAATATTGCGCAAAAAGCTGGAAAATCCCAGCATGTTCCATAACGACATCGCAAAAAAGCTAAAATTTCCAAAGTCTACCGTTACTTATGTGCTTTAAAAATACAATGAATGTTTATCTTCAAAAAGGAACCCT